CAAAAACAAGGCTGCTTGTATGGAGGCAGCAGGTGCAAGAAAACATATTTGTGGCAGATATGTTCCACAAAAGACCCTAAGGCTCGTGGAGAAGATTGTCTGATTGGGTAACGCCACTTGTTCTTCCCTTTAGTTTTATATTTTAAGTTATGCATTAGATGTTAGTGACAAGGATTGGTTTCTTCCAGTGGTGCAGGGACGTAAAACAGAAACATGCATATGTGCTGAAGGCAGCGAGGAGCGAGTCTCCTCTTGTGGGAGTCATGCGCTGGCAATCTTTCAAACCAGTCTTTTCCTTCTTCTGTTTGTCCAGGATTTTGGGAAGTGTCCTCGTTTAAGGCTGTTTACTCAGGAGTACATACTGGCTTTGAATGAATTGAACGCAGGAATGGAAGTGGTGAAGAAATTCATACACAGGTCAGTGGCCGGTCATGAATCTTGAATTGCTTTACTGTGCATTTGTTTCCTCCAAAGTGGAAAATATGTTCTGGGTAAATGTCAATGCTTTTCCATGTTTCTGAGTCCTGCTTTTTTTTTTCCACTAATGTAGTTCAGTAAAGTAACAGAACTTCTAAGAATTCCGAAGCATAACAACTAAAAATTGTGTTAAGAGCTAACCATAGGTTACTTTTCATAACTGAAGTGTAGGCAGTGCGGGTTAAAGCTAAAGTTTAAACTGCTCACATTTTGTCCTCCCCTGGTTGTCTTTCAGCTTCTGAGTGCATAACAGTGTCAAATGCAGAGCGCTGAAGTCTAGCCAAACAAATCTTAATTTCTCTTGTCCCCCAGGGGGCAAAGTACATGTAGCACTTTGCCCCATTTTGATAGGTGCTATGGATGCTAAGCTAGCATGGTCAACAACATACCCCCCCATTGCTCTCTGACCATGCTGCTCACAAGGAGACGACCAGCTAATTAATTTTGGTTTACCACAAGCAGGGTAGGGGGTCTAAAGGTATATAAAAAAAGAGAGAGAATAAAGAAACCCAAATGATACACAGCAGACCCAGAATCATTTATTTGTCATACATATTGGTCTCTCTGAAGGCGGTAGTGAAGACAGGTAAAGATTTGATCTCTCTTTGGTAGAGATCATGCGACCAATGCCTCAGGATCGGTCATGGGACCAGCAGCCAGAGCCCAGAACACCCTTTTCTGGAGGGACAGAAAGTATTTCATAACTTTACTATGTATAGTACGTCCGAAAGGATAGGGTTGGATAGACATGAGTTTACGTCTTTATTGAAATTGTAGTTCCTGAATTGTTATAGTCAAACTTCACATTCCGTAAGCAAATACTTTTTTTGCTTCCTCAACTAGCTCTGTGTTAGTGTTCTATTAAACGTTAACCTGGTCAAGGTACACTAATCAATATCATTGTTATACAATTTCTTCCTCTGATCCTTACACAATGGCCATAGGAAATATTCTGCATCTAAACTAAAGATAAACTCTTGCCAATAAAAAGGAGGCAAAAGTTTAAACAGCAGCATAGTCTAGTTTATGCTTTAAATATTTAAAAACGTACATTAATGTATTGGATTGTTTTATGTGACCCCGTACTCTGTGTCAGCTGACAAAAGGTAGGCAGACTCTATAGAGCAGTCAAGCTTGCATTCAGTCAGATTGACTGATGAGCAGCCTTCTCTCAACAGATTGATACAAAAGTATACACGCTTATGAAAGACATAACCATTGAGGGTGCACTTTGGGCTACTCTTGTGAGAGCTACTAAAATGGTGGCTAGACAACTCAGTCCTGACTATAGACTTTTGTCCCAAGATTCATCAGTTGGGGGAGAAGATATTGGAGTAACTGGGCAGTGATCATGCTATCCATTAACAAGTTGGTCCACTTCACACTGACATTCTCATATGTGTGTGCTGCAGTGCGATGCATTGTAAATAGCAACCCAAAGCACCTCCCAGCGCACCTGCTTTCCAGTACACCGTGCTGACCAAACTTGCTGCAGATCCGATGATCCACTTGAGTGCATTACAGTCCCATTCATAAGAACGGGATGCCATAATATAATACATGTTAACATGTGACATAGCGAGCATTAACCGTACCACATCCATTTGCCTTGGTTTGAATGAGATTTTGGAATATCTTTTTGACATTAGAGTTCTCAAGAGACACCCATTGTGTACTTCAATTCACCTGTGCTTAACCTTTACTGACGTATCAACTTTGGTTGGACTATCTCTTTAAGGGACATGTGCTTTACTTGAGCAGGGCAAAGCTACAGCTTTAGTATGATGCCAGCTTCCACAGCTGCATGTATGTCCTTTCCTTACAGTTCCCCACCACTCCATATTTGCTGTTGGGAGTAAGGAAAAGACCCAAGTACTCTCCCGCTTCATGTGACAGCACTGGCCCAAGCACTAGGCACCACTGTTGCCTCGTGGGAGAAACAAAGTGAAGCACATGTTCCTCCATACTTACTCCTCCATACCGGGCATTTTTCTTCACTTACTATCACTCAAGGGCATGGCAGCAGAGCAAAGTCAAGCAGACTGTGTGCTGCTGGGGAGGAGGTGAGTTAAATGAGCCTATTGCTTTGCCCTGCCTTGGCAAATCACAAGGTAGCTTTAAGGACACTTAAAGGATCAGTTCTTAAATGTCCTTTAATGCAGTGCTGTTACTCAGTAAATCCTGGCAGGTATGACATCCTGACATCACAATTTCTAATTTATACGTCTCTATCTTATACAATATCTATCCATGCCTATCTCTCTTTGCACAGTACACATAACATATATATGAGCAGATTTAGTACATATTATGTTTGAGGCATTTTTTATAGATTTGGATACTGTCTAAATTTGACTGTGAAGCAGTCTATAAACCTTGTTTTTCCTCCATTTTCTATTTGTAGGGCTGTATGTGCACTTTGTGAATCCCAACTTCTTTTTTTTTTTTCCAGCATGCATGGGCCCACTGCAAACTGTCCTCACCCCAGGGTCTTACCAAACCTTGTGGCCGTGTGTCTAGCTGCCATTTATTCCTGCTATGAAGAATTCATCAACAGGTAATTGTGATACTAAACATAGTACATCACCTGTAGAGCGTATTTAAAATTGCAGCCAGGTCTGCACTTTTTATACAGGTGTATAATGAATTAGCTGTGGGCTTTGATTTCTAGTTTGATATGAATTATATAAAGGCAGAGGTCTTTATTTGCAGGTAAGTGACTAAAGCAAGAGTTTTGGCATGATTCAGCCAGGCAACTCGCTTGTCAGCAATGGAAGCCTGTCATGTTTATAGCAAAACATGTTTCCTTTTACTGTTTTGCTGCCGTAACCTTAAGTATTACCTTGCGGCAGTATTGGGATGTCAACAAACAGCTGTGAGTTAGTTTACCTTTTTATTCCGCTCGCTTTGGGCATTTAATATAGACTACAGCCACCTAGACTCAGACTGAGATGACCTTTCTGTGGTTGTCCTTGGTTAATTCCAAGGAGCGCTAATGTTTGTTACAAATAGTGACTGTTATGTTTTATTGGAGAACTTACAAACATTTTTGTGATGCTTACATGTTTGGATAGGATGCGACATTTGTATCGCTTGTGCCCTGACCTAAGCTACTTACCTTGAATTGTGGATGATTATTGTGGTTTTGTAGTTGGCTGTAAATTGTTGAAGAAATGTAATAAAATTTTGTTGACAAAAAAAAAAGAGAAGACAGCACACATGTTCTGTTTATAGCACACAGGTCTGTGTCCCAAACATTATTGACACAGCAGCACAGCTAGTATTTTCAGGAGACCAGCAATGGAAGCCTCCATACTTCTTTTATGGTTAATTAAAACAATTGAAAAAATTGTGTTTTGTCAACATATGGCTCTACTAAGCCTTAATTAACTTTCTCCTCCTTTTTTGCTTTTTTTCCCAAGCCGAGACAATTCACCAAGCTTAAAAGAAATCCGTAATGGCTGCCAGCAGCAGTGTGACCGCAAACCCAACATACCCTTACGGCTTCTTCACACCAATCCTGACCTGGTCTCCCAAGAGGTCACATCGGCGGAGTCCCGACACAAGTCAGTCATCGTCACATCAAATGAGATACACGTGGAGGTGGAGCGCAATAATACAGTGAATCAGAAGCTGAAGGCAAACACTGGCAATGATAGTGAACCCAACCTGATTGACTGTCTTCTCATCAGCCCAGCCTGCAGCACCATGAGCATTGAGCTAAGCCCACAGGCCGAGCGAGTGTTGGGCTGCTACGTGGAAATCCTAAAGATGCTGTAAGTAGCTGTTGACTTAAATAAAAATTGTTTGTCTTTATGGTTAGTATGCTGACTAGGAATCTGCTGTAAATTTTGAATCCGTATATTATGTATTGGCCACCATTGTTCCCACGTCTTTCTGCTTTTATCCCCACTATACATCCCCCCTACTTTTCCTTCTGAAACTACACCAACGTAAAATTATTTACTGACCACCGCCGAACCTCTGCATATCTTTACTGATATCAACTGAGTTAAGAAAACCACCTTTGAAGCAATTTGGTTTGGAGGAATACGACCTTTTGACCAGCAACGAATGGCTAGCGCTATTCTGTTAATCTTGCAATTAATAAATACGTGGTTTTTGGTCATGTGGCTTGCCTCCTGGTCAGTGGTACCTGGAAGTGCATTTTAGTTTATGAAATATTTGGGCATTTGGCTCTCTGTGTTCCAACTTCTAAATCATCTGTTGATTGGGATACCTTGACCCAGCGCAGTGCCCTGGCAACTTGGGGCTGGATATATCCTTATAAACCTATGTGTACACCCTACTCTAATCCAATGTGCATCTTTTGGTTTCGCAGGGCAATGTCTTTCAATTTCTTATGGCTACAGTTTATATATTTTATTTCTGATTCATTGAGCAAGCACGGAGGTTTTTGCAAACTTCAAGTTCCTGAGCTGTCATTCTTGTACTGTGTCTTCAATACTCACTAACCCCAAACAAATGTTCAAATGAGGAGTTTCCATTTCACTGACGGTTTACTTGCTTAAGGCCTGTGAAATCACTATGTAGTGAAGCCGGAGAATGACAGTCAAGGTTAAAGACTAGTCGTTAACAGCAATGTTTGTATTCTGTGAAAGCTGGTTCCTCTAAAATTATGATAAGAAACCAAAAAGCTTTCCTTTGGTATTATTCTCAAAGCAGTATTACCGGCTTAAAACATAACGTATATTCCCATATCACCACTTCTAAATCCAAAAATGTGTGTTGCAGTTGTTTTAATTTGTAATCCTATTTTTAGATGTGTTGATACATCGTTATAGTTGAAGCATATTTGTTAAAGGTTATCTAAATGCAGTTGTGGTACTTCCATGAGGTACAGTTTTCAAAGGTCCCAGTGGAGGGACGCCAAGGCTTATGGAGATGCTGGAAAGAAGACATTGTGATGATTGTGTTTACATCACTACAGGAGTGAGGCCATATCTGATCACTGATAGTTTGTGGAGGCTTGTGATGGTTATGATGGTTTGTGGAGGCTTGTGATGGTTATGATGATTTGTAGAGGGTTGTGATGGTCATGATGGTTTATGGAGGGTTGTGGTGGTTGGTCATGATTGTTTATGGAGGGTTGTGGTGGTCATGATAGTTTATGGAGGGTTGTGGTGGTCATGATAGTTTATGGAGGGTTGTGGTGGTCATGACAATTGCTCTGTACCATCAGAGTTGTGTTGTAGGGATGGTCCTGCCTCTGTGTCCAGGTCCCAGTCAGCCTATGACACAGTAGCATGAGGTCCTACAGATGCTGTAAAACTTGCTCTAGTTAAACGTTTGGAGAAGCAACTGCTGACCGCATTTCTAAAAATATCTTGCTAGACATCAAAAAGCTAAAGGAATGTTTTACATTGAGTGCTATTTATTCTCCAAAGTGCTGCTACACCTCCAAAATTGTTCATATAAAACAGGGATGGGCTCTTTCAACATCAATTTAACTTTTACAGCGCGTTTCTTTATATGTAAACATTTATATATTCAAAACATGGTTGTGTGCAATCCTTCCGATACATCATCACTTTCTCTAAGCACATGTCTGCATTCAGAGATAATAGGACAGGTACAGCTTACATAAGTCATATAATGTGTTTACTGTTACATTTGTAATATGTGTAGATGACGGAAAAACAAGGAAACATGAAAATGAGTAGGCTAGTGGGGTTTATCATTAATGAATAAGCTGGGAATATTGGTGGCTGGATTGGGTTAAAACCCGCCCCCTAAAAACCCGAGCCGACCGGGTTGCATTCCAGTGCATTCCAGAGGCCGAGTGCACTGGAACGCACTCCTGATGGTGTGACAGGGCCCTAAAGGGCACTGGTGTAAAAGCAGACATAGACAGGCCAGCTTCTAGGCCTTTGATGGCGTTTGAGCTGCCATCTTCATTGTATTGGCTTTAGATTTAAGCCTAGGACCACTTTAGAACTACCTAGCACACACACACACACACACACACACACACACACACACAAACACACCTTGCTGTTCAAGATAATTTGGCATACAAAATAACTCTAATGTACATGTATTTGCTGCCCAGTCCAGTGCTTGACATTGTTTACTCCACCATATTGATGCTTGTACGTATATTTGTACATGTGTTTGGTGGGGAATATTGGCCATCTATCATACATCTCTTGCATTTCTTTTGAAACCTTGATACATGTTGATACTGGCTAACTGACTTGTAGAACTGACATTCTTTTTAGGTGTGTTTAGACTTTCAATTGAACAAGAATCCTTGACATCACAAGCACAGTTCATTATTTAAAAGCCATGGTTCCATATGAATAAACTGATTGTGTTCTCCTATATTGGAGCTTATCCACACTTTATTCATGTGCCAGGTACACTTTAATCACCAGGAAAACACAGGAGCAGAAAGGGTTGTCTTTTTTCTGTAATCATCCATCGACGCAGACACGCATTTCTTCTTTTCTTCTGAGTAATGACAACCACACGATGATTCACCAGTAAAAGGGAACTGAAGCTAAGGGGAGGGTGAACCGAATAATGAGAGTGATGCTTTGATAGTTCTATTCTTCTGAATGAACAATAAAAAGAACTGTCACCATAAGGACCAGGTACAAAGGGAGTGGCGCATGGAGCAGGCACCATACGTCGCCCCGTTCTTTGACTCTCTGGACACTGGTTTATCCGGTGACACCAGACATCGCTCACTGAGACAGACACCTGGATATTGCCGCTCCTGCTCCATCATTCTTTCATTTTACAGGAACGGCAACACCCTGCTATTAACCTGCTTTATACAACCATAGGTAGATATAGGTTAAATATAAACATAATATATATATATATATAGACAATGATTATGGAAACAAGAAAACATTCAAGATGACGTCATTTTGTAGGTTGTCACTCTGACCAGCAGTAAATGCTGTAAATAAATAGTAATAGCAGAAAGCCGCAAGGGAGCTGTTGAAAATACTTTATTCATCAATAAGTTTGACACAAGTTATAACATTTTCTAATATACTTTACTGTCCAAAAATAGCTGTTTCCAGAGCAAAATCTAGCCAGAAAAACAGTTGTTCTGACTCATGGCTGAAAGTCAGATATGCAGTGTACATTTATAATTAAATCTTTTTTTTTATTTATTTAAAAGGAGGGACAAAAAACATTATTATCATGAGATATTAGCACAGCAGTGAAGGTAAATGAGACAAATTAGAGACACAAGTCAAACAAGCAGAAAAAGCACACAATGTGGCAATCTGGTATTGGATTTGGTAAATTCCAAAATAATTTAAAAAAAATCATATTTGAATGGTAAGAATGAAGATGTAGACATCAAATCCATATGAAAAGGTATGGTTTATTAAGTAACGATGATACTAAAATTGTGAGGGTAATAGACACGGGCTTAGACATTATAACCCTACAGGAGGACCTGGATAAAATAGGGGAGTAAAAAAAAAAAAAAATAGGCAAGAGGAATACACATTAATGGGTACTCCACTAGGGAAGTATGAAATGGAAAAAGATTTGGGGGTCATAGTAGATAATAGCTTGCAGTGCCAGGCGGGTCAAACAAAGCGAGCAGAGTACTGTCCTGTATTAAAAAGGGAATGTACTGTAGAGACAAAGCTATAATTCTGCCAGCAGGGATCTCCAGTGACATCATTTACCATATATGGACTTTCCGATTTGTAGTAAATGCTGAAGAGAGAGAGAGAGCTCCTTCCCCTCTGTCATCAGCGATCCACGATCAATTTGGTATGTCAGTGTCGGCAGGGAGAGAGAGAGAGGGGGGAAGGAGCTGGCACACGGGGACGTGCAGGTAAGGAGAGAGCTGCTGCGCATGTCCATATATTCGTGGACGCGCAGCAGCTCTCAAGAATCACTGTCAGTCATCAGTGGGGAGGATCCCGTCAGATACGTCGGGATGTCTTCTCATTGCGGCGCTTAGCCCCGCCCACCACCTAAAATAAGGTTTTACAGCCTTACTGTGCATTTTGGCTAATTAGAGTAAATTACATTATTTACTTATTTAGCCTAAGGAATGCATTCATAAAAAAAAAGATAGAACCGCATAGTTCTCCGTTAAGCTCTAAATGGAGGGATGTCAGCCAGGAGAAGATAATCGACAGTTACAATAATAGTTGCAACTAGAGAAGTCCATGTCAGTCAGATTCACTGCTGTTTGTTCCAAAGTTGCGGGTGTATAGCTTTGCTACCCCCGTTACTCTTTATTGCTAATGTATTGTTGTGCATTCATGTTGTGTCTCTCTACCTTTTTAAGATCTATTGGAAAAGCAGACAATTCCTTTCTATTAGCTGGCGAACTAGGACCTTGAGCACAATCTGTTTTCATTTTGCAATGTGGATACTTTTGATAAGCAGATAAAAATAATGCATCTTCTACATTCTTTTACTTGATCCCTATTGAGAAATCGGAAACCTCTTTTATTCATTGTTGGGAAAGAGCCATGAGTCGATATTGCCAGAAACTTTGTGACACACAAAGAGGTCTAGCAGGCTTTGACGCTGCAGGATTGTCCCGGGGCCTATTGTAAAGTTTAGCTCTGCTTTGGTTGAGTTTGCAGGCTCTTCTCCCAAGACTGAGCTCATATCAAATGTTTTGTTTGGGAGTTTTCCAGTCATAGCTAAGAAGGGAATACAATAGAGATTCATAAAATACATTAAGCGTTTCTAATCCATATTTCAAAGGTTTGTATTATTAGAAGAAAAAATTCAACCATCCCTTTTTTTCAAAAAGGGG